TTACCGCACCCGCCGTATTCTCCGGACATTGCTCCTTCTGATTACTGATTGTTCCGAAAGATGCAGCACGATTTGGCAAGTCACCGGTTCACTTCTCCAAAATTGAATCGCCTCCAAAGACGAGTCATTTTTTCGAGATGGAATTCGAAAATTGCCTGAGAGATGGGAAAAAGTAGTAGCCAGCGATGGATAATACTTTAATTAATCTGTTCATTCATTTTGTTTTGAAATAAATGCATTTTTGAACACAAAAAAACGGACCGAACTAATTTGTACTCTCAATAACTTTTTTAAAAAGGTACAAGGTCAATAAGTTCTTAGAAAATCTGTCAGAGGGCACTCGCAATGTCATATTACTTTTTGACAAGTAGCATCTTTCAGCTGATTACTGTCAAATTTTGAGCGGAATTCATCGCGTGGTTTCATTTCTGTAGATGATTAAAGCGAACAATCTTTGTATTTTTTGCAAAATAGAAAAAAAAACGAGTTTCGTGCAGTGATCAAACATCTACATATGAAAAGTTTAATGCCGAAAGAAATCAAAACCATTTGGATAATGTAACAGATCTGCACCAGCGTTTGCGACTGTATACAATTGGGTGAATGAATTTAAACGTGGTCATACATCCACACGTGATGTACCTCGTTCGGGACGTCCAATTTCTGTTACGCCAGAAATCATCGATAAAGTCCACGATATTGTTTTGACTGATTGAAAGTGCGCAAGCTTGTTGAGGCCACAGGCATATCACATGGTACAGTGATTTCAATTTTGCACGAACAATTGGATATGAAAAAGCTATCGGCAAGAGCGACTGGATGTCGCGTTTGCTCACTGTGGACCATAAGCGCGACCATGTAACGATTTCAAAACAATGTTTGAAGATGTTTCAACGTAATCCAGATGAATTTCTGCGTCGATTCATTACTGTGGACGAAACATGGATCCATTACTTCACATTCGAGACGAAGGAACAGTTAAAACAATGGACTTCACCGAGTGAACCAGCTCTGAAGAAGGCGAAGACCGTGAAGTCGGCCGGAAATATGATGGTCACAGTTTTTTGAGATGCACATGGTATAATTCATATCGATTATCTTTCGTCGAAGCAAACGATCAATGGCGATTACTACGCAGCCTTATTGGACTGTTTCAACAACATTTTAAAGAAAAAACGTTCCCATTTTGTCGAAGAAGAAAGTGCTCTTCCATCAAGACAATGCACGGGTTCACACGTGCCCGGCATCGATGGTCAAATTCAACGAATTCCGCTACGAATTGCTTCCCCAGCATATTCACCAGATTTAGCGACCCCCTGCGACTATTTCCTGTTTCCAAACCTGAAGAAATGGTTCGAAGGAAAGAGATTCATCACCAGAGAGCAGCTCATCGCCGAAACAGAGGCTTATTTTGAAGGACAAATCATATTATTCGGACGGCTTGAAAAAGTTGAAGAATCGTTGGATCAAATATATCGAGCTGAAAGGAGACTATATTGAGAAATAAAAATGAATCTTTCAAAAAAAATGTGTTTTACTATAATATTTTTCTAAAAACTTATTGACTTGCCCTCGTATTTTTTTATATACATAAATAATAATAAATAATACATAAAATATAATGAATAATACATAAAATATAGAATTTAATTTAGCGCCAGTTGTTATAATATTAAATTTTTTACACAAATAAAATATCATTAGGATTAAGTAACAAAGATAGTACCATTTAAGTTTTATTTTTAATATATATCTTGGTTAATTAAGACTACAGGTATATCATTTGGGTTTTAATTTTTAATTTGTTTTTTATAATAGTTTTTTTTGAGGAGTAACAATTTTTGATAGAGAATTAAAGTTGTCGTTACTTGGATTGGAATAAGTAAAGGTTTTTTGAATGAAACAACAGAATTTTTACTCACACAAATGTTCCGTACAAGCATATTTGTTTCAATAAAACAAATTGTAAAGAAATAGGAATACTGAATTCAAAGAAGCCTTTTTCTCTGTGTACTTTATCTTGCTGCATTTATTATATATTAATGGACAATCGAGCGCAACTTACTTTATTTGTCATAATAACTGAAAGATCGCCGTTATATTATTTTGTAGACACTTCACTTTTTTTTCTTTATATGCAATAATAATTACTCATAATTCAATTGACGATTGTCACATTACTGCGATTTTCGAGGTATTCTTTTAAGTCTTGAAAATTTAAATTTATTAAAAATTCAAAAAGAGGTGATGAACTGGAAGTTTTAGAAGTAATTAAATTAAGCAGATTACAAAGAAATATTGTGTGATAGCGCTGAGAGTCTAAGACTTGTATATATCGATTGTAACGATGGTAGCGAACGTAGTAAAATTTATACCAACGTTCATTTTTAAATAAGGCAGAATTTATCGTAATAACTGTGGTATGCATCTAATAGCGTACGGATAGTATGACTTTGTAAAATTGCATGTTATGTTTCATAAAATAATTAGCAAAACTTATTTATGCATGAATTATCTACAGCGGAAGTCAAAGTAATTCCTAGATGAGAGAGAATAAAGAAAGCGATACGATATGAAACGCAGACACAGAGAAAATGAAACTTGCAATATAATATAGCATCTCCAGGACGTTGTCTCGCAAGAAATATTTTTTATCGAGACGTCGCCTAAGATCTTCGAGATCTATCTTTAAAATTTCAAGAACGATGCACACTCTTCCGCTGTCATTCGCACTATTGACATACGCCGGATACTGGCGACCTGTTAACTTGACATCCATCAAATATTGGGCGTATACTGTTTATTCCGTTGCCATGAATTTTTTACTTCATTCGTTCACATTTTGCGGTTTAATCGACTGTTTTATAAGCGAAGATCTTAAGACGTTCATCGAGAAATTCTCGCTATTCCTATCAGTACTTGGCGTTAGCTGCAAAGTGACAAACCTGGCGATACGTCGACACGAGATTATCAATCTTACCGATATGTTGTTGGATAATATCTGCGTACCCCGAAACGCTCACGAATTGAATATTCAGCGACGCTTCGATCGCAATGCAAAGTACGTATGAAAATTAAACAATTAGCGAAGTATTTTATTTTTCATCAATATGTTATATTTTTACGATTCTGACAAATTTTGTAAACATTGATAATAATCCGATCGTGATTGAAACGTCTGTTAGCCAGCATGTTTTATTAAAATTCATAATAATTAAAAAAGACATCTTTACTCATCATCTATCAATTTTTCTATACGTTATATTTTTGGCTCATAACTCTTCTCTTTAACTCATTTTTAAATAATTAGCCTCAAAAACTTCAAAATTATAATATATTATCAAAATTATATTATAATATATTATTGTAATTAAAAGATTGAAAAAATATTTTATATTTCATGTAAAAAATTTGGAAGTATTTTATATTGTGTATTTCAAATCGAAAGATTGATAATATTTTGTATTTTTTCTTTTAAATACTCCAATGATTTTGCCCAGTCTTACCTCATACAGCAACAGCCCGAACTTATCGGCCAGGATATCTATCATGAAACATGTATGTTGGAATGAATTCCGATCAGAATTATTCCGTTTTTCATAGAAGACACGATAAAATTTTAGAAATATAATTGAAAAATAATTGAATAATTCCAATCGGAGATCGGAATCCATTTCGATTTGTTTCATAATAGGTGCTCTGATTTACCTAGGGAAAATCGATAAATTAATAATGTTGAAGGCGCGCACACTTTGTGAAAAAGTGCACATCGGAAAGGAACACTTTACATTGGCACTGAGACAAAATAATAAGAAAAATAAATAATTTAGGAGGTGGGAGAAATAAAGGCACAATTCTACTTAGTTCTTTTTGCGGAGATTAGCTCTTTTACATAATATTGATCGTAATGTAGAGAAGTAGTGTAACATGTAACTTCTTAAAAACATTGCATAAATTCATTTAATACTGTACCCATTTGTGTATAATAAAAAAGTAGCAAGTAGCATATTTTAATTTTTAAAATCAAGATTCATCATGTAATTAGGTCTTTGTTCCACCCAAATCCTCAATTGTTAATTTGTTTTATCTTTCTTTTTTTTCTCTTTAATTTAGAAATGCATTTTTCATGAATTATATCCCCATCGTGTTACATAACATCATATGATTGTTACATTTATATATACAAATATATATATTATAATATATGTATATATTTTACATACATATATATACATATATGTATATACATACATATTTACAAATATATACAGGATGTCCCGCAATTTTCGGCAAAGTGCTTTGGTACAGATAGCGGATTAAACTGACAAGAACAATTACGATAACTATGGCTCCTCAAAATAAAAGTTATTTTTGAAAACATTTTTAAAGAACACAGGAAGAATAGTAAAAAAATTCTATAATCAATATTTAATTTGATAATTCAATTTTATAATAACTTTTTGATCAATTTGATAATAACTTTTTAATAAACAATGATTATTGATTAAAATATTCTGGAGGTTATTCAGGACATTAACCTTGATAAAATTCTTGATAAGATCTTGTTAAGATTCTCACCCAATCCCTCCCTCCCCTACGGAGCGAACGACTTTCTATGTGAAACAACTTCCACCGCACCTCTTTCCTTGCTACGGGGTGCACGACTTTCCACGTGAAGCGACTCTCACCCCACCCCCCTTCCCCTGCTACGGAGCATACGACTTTTCACGCCAAGCGACAAATTTTTTTATGTGTAATTGTTAGTTATTTTGGTATCTTGTTAGTTATTTTGGTATCTTGGTTAGAAAATTTTTTTATTATTTTCTCATATTCCTCGCTAAAAATGCTTACAAAAACTTCATTTTCACTTTCATTTTGAGAGGCCATAGTTATCGTAATCGTGCCATAAGTAATCTAATAGGAGTTGTATTGTCTGGTTAATTACGTATGAACAACTCATTATATTGTATTTTCCCAATATTTTTCTAATATTTTTCCAGGATAATCACCATATGCTGCGAAATACTGAATGAGTCAGCTGCCTTTTTTTCGATTGCTCAATTTCAACATTTTGTCAACACTCGGACTTTACCGCTCTATGACTGGGTGCCCTATGATATCTCATCAACAACCATTTTTTGGGCAACTTTGTTGCACCAAACCATCATAATAATGATTTGCGCGAATACCAGTGTTGCCCACGAGACTCTCATTTCTGGTTTTATGATCCAAATTTGCGCCCAGTTAGATATACTCTGCCATCGAGCTCGCATACTGCCGGATTTGTTACAAGAGGCCCGAAAATGCAGCATTTCGAAAGAAGACTTCAAAATGCGAGAACGGCAACTAATTCGCGAAATTGTACATCATCATCGCTACGTGTATAGGTGAAAATAAAATTTATTCGCGCTTGAAGAAAAAGAAATATATGTACATATATAAGTGAATAAATAATTGTAATGGTGCAGATTTGCGGAACGCATCAATGCAGTATTCACGCTAATGATTTTCGTGCAATTCACCATAAGCTCGACAGTGCTCTGTCTTTGCATCTACCAAATGTTGACAACAAACTTACTAAGCGTCGAATTTGCGTATAGCTCGTCATATCTTGGTTCTATGCTTATACAGATTTATTTGTACTGCTGGTTCGGCAACGAAGTGACACTGAAGGTCAATTATTTAAATATTCTTAAACCTTTTAAAACGTTATCTTTTTCAAGGAATATTTAATTTACTTAAAGCCGGTTTTAGCAAACTTGCTTTTTAATCAGCTTCTTAAATACGTAGAGCACTGAAATCGGAAACGCCGTTTACGAGATGGATTGGCCGATGCTTCCAGTTGATTTAATGAAGACTCTTTTGATAATTATTACACGATCTGTGAAGCCAATTAAGATAACTAGCGGATACATAATTACTTTATCCAACGAATCTTTTATGAAGGTAAACGGGATGATATCAATAATGATACATTTAGCGATATTGAAAATATTTTTAATTACGGGCGCCGACTTGTCAATTTGTTATGAATGGAGTTGAATAACGTGACAGAAGAGGGGGCACAACAAAATTTTTACAATTACTTTCAAGATTTCTTTATAGACTTTCATATCAAGACTATAACAGAATGAACAATGAAATTCTTCTAATAATAAATTCTTATAAATATATTTAATTTGTTGAAACACGTAGAGAAAATGTTGAACTCTCCAAATATTGTTTTTTATAATGAATTCATCCATAAGTGCATCAATATCCAAAGTCTCTCAGCAATATCAGAATGCACATGCAATACAGTCACTAAATTCAACTTGCTGCATAGAATTAAAATACGTTTTCAATCTTTTCAAGATAGAAAAAACGCACAGTTATTATCAACATTAGTTTATTTAAAAAATAGTTCATATATGGAAATCCACATATGAACATAAAAAATTCTAATGAAATATACCACCCCCATAAAAGTCGGCGCTGTGATTATACTTTGATTCACCATACCATTATAATGTTTATTCTTTCAGATCATTAAAATATCTTACTCGGCGTACAATGTTTTGCAGGGATCTTAATATAAGCAAAAATAATTATCTCCTTGAAGAAATCAGGTGGACAAATAATTATTTCTACGTACATAGTTATTCTTTTAAAGTTAAATTACTATTAAATTTACTTCTAAATAATTATTTCAATAAAAACAATTAATTTTTTTATTATAAACATATAATTTTATTTTATAAAAAAAGGAATTAAAAAGAACTCACAAATGAAGATGCATAGACATTAAATAATGATTTTTTTATTTTATAGAGAATCTGCAGAGACTTACAGAAATAAGAATTATTAACTCTTATGTAACTCTTATGTAGCTCATACACAAAAAAAAAACGATGAAGAAAAAAGGATTCTTTTTGCTTCAATGTTGAATAACTCTTGAAAAAAAAATGGTACAGAGATCTATAAAAAAGCAAATTGAAGGTAAAGATTCATTCAATGGCCCGTTTTATTGCACACTAAGTTTTTATACAAATATTTTCAAATAGCAATAAGTGAAAAATCATCATAGCGAGATGTTTAAAAAAGCCTTCTAAAACTTGAAATCTTTACTTTCGAAATCGGACATTAATATTTCAATCTGACTGATCCCATATGGAGCTATACGGACACAAATGGATACCCATCAAATGTGAAAATTTTGTACAAATTTTACAAATGTCTATGGCGTAAAGTAAAGATCGCACAAAAATGCGATTTACAGCAATCGAAAGCTTGAATCTTTACCTTCATTTGCTTTTTTATAGATCTCTGTACGATTTTTTACGAGTTATTCAACATTGAAGCAAAAAGGATCTTTTTTTCTTCATCGGTTTTTTTTACGAGTGAGTGTACATAAAAGTTAATAATTCTTACTTCTACAAGTCTCTGCAGATCCTCTATAAAGAAATTAAAGAATCATTTAATATCTATAATGCATCCTCATTTGTGAGTTCTTTTTCATTCCTTTTTTTGTATAATCAATTTATGTGTTCATAATAAAAAAATTAATTATTTATTGAAGTAATTATGTAGAAGTAAATTTAATAGTAATTTAACTTTAAAAGAATAATTTAATTTGCATATTATTAATTTAAAATACCTTATTCAATGACGTATTGATTATTTCATTAATTTAATCATACAAAAGATAAAGTATCTTTTTCAAATTTTATTGAATTTTAATTATAACTTTATATTTGGGGGGGGGGGAAATACTTACTTCTATAATAAAATTTTACATACTAATAGAGATTATTTTACTAAGAAATTTAGTTTTTTCAATGAAAAAGTTGAAAATTTCATTTTCGATCACTCTGGATCGATCTATATAATATACTAGTCAAAATAAATGAAAAATTGTAAAAAAAAATCATAATTGTTGATTAAATAATTTTTTATTTAAACAGTAATAATCTTTAATTTTTTTGCTAAAATCAATTGTCTAAAATGATACAACGTAATGAAATAAACATATGAATTAATGCTTTACAATGTAATACTTCTTGTGTATTACAAGTATGTATTATAAACATTGTAAAAATAAGTATACTGCCTAATACAATATCAAATCGATTTATGTATGTAAATATATAACATTATTTCATAAGTAAATAGATTTAGACAAATCAGAAAAGAGTACACATACAAAAAAATACTATTATATAGAAGACACAGAAAACATCGAGGTCTTGTAAATATCTAAATGATATCTTTTTAAAGATATCTTTAATACATTCTAGAAAAGATATCTAGAAGTTATCTGAAAGATATCTATAAAGATTTTATTGACGTCTTAAAGAAGTCTTGAAAAATATCTTTAAAATATTTGTAATATTGTTACGTCATGAACTGTAACAAATTTAGATATTTTGCGTTTAGATATTTTTTGCGTTTATGAATTACTGTGTCAGCGATTTTTGTTATTATCTCATCACCAGAAATCAATATTACGAATTCTTATGTTAAGAATAGCTAATAGTCACGGATTGAATATTTTTACATTATATTTATGTGTCGCGTCGCTGCCGAGCGCGGAATGAGGAGGGAGGGAGGGGGGAGAGAGAGAGAGAGAGAGACACGCGGCGCGCGGACAGGACATAGGATTAAAAGAGTGGCGGAATATTTATTAGAGTAAGGGAGGTATAATTAAAGTGGAAGTAAGTCTCAGATCGAGCGGCAAACTATAAGACCAGCGTATCGCATGCTACAGGAGTTCTTTATGATAATTGATCTATTATAATTGATTTATAATTTTAAATGAATAATTATTGTTCTCTTGAAACGGAATTCGACATTGTTCTTTATCAATATAAGATATCATGAATTATTTGATTGAGCAATTTATGAATTATTTATTGAATTTGCCATTGGTGTTAATGCTTCAGCAAATAATTGTAATAACAAATGTCACAACAAATGTCAAATTGAGTAGATTTAGCAATAGAGTTGATTTAGCAAAGAAATTAATGATAAATCCGAGCAATTCAAGCCGTTTCATCATTTCATATTCTTCGGGAGGTGATGGAGGAATGGATTGAATGAAAGTTGAATATAACACTATATTAAAGTTTAAATTACTGAACTGGCTGACACACTGGTTATATTGAAAATGACGTGGATCCCTTGGTTAGTTATTCTACCGAAAATGTTTTAAACCGACGCGATTGGTTGAATAATTAGAAAAGAAGCATTAGAAAAGCAAAATTAGAAATTAATTGTAGAAGAAACAGATGGTAGTGAAAGGAAGAATTGAGCAATTTCTACGAGCGCGGTCAATTCCGAGAAGGGACAGACTAAGTAGCTCCTACAAACGCGGTTAGTCCGTAGGAAAGGTTCTATTCTACTTTTTCTTCTTCTTGTTCGATGTTAATTGGCCCTTGCCGCGGAGTAGCAGCAATTCCGACCAGGGTGAACCTAGTAGCTGAAACAAGTAACCAGGCGGGTGTGTCGCCTGGGAGGAGAGGAGAGAAACAAAGTTCTCCGCCCCTCCCTTAAAACAAAAACATGTTTATGGAAATCAGATACTGAGGTTTAAAGATTTGAGATATGCAGTAATTAAACGACACAAGGTAGAGGGAGGATTGTTAATCATACAATGAATATTAAGGGGATGAAATGGGAAGTGTTTTTTCAGGTAATCACGAAGTTTAGTCGATTTATGAATACAGAGTTTGCAATAAAAGAGAATATGATTAA